TCTCACTTTATTTTCATATTTTTCAGTTCAAGTTTCTAATGGTGCGAAGATCTCACAACAATAATAAGTGATTTAAGTTGACATGAAAAAAAAACCGTACAAAATGTTATGTATCAGTGTTAAAACATGGGTTTAAACAATCTGATTAAAATTTAGATCAATCACGACTCGCCTGCCCATATATCGTCTGATAAAAACAAAATCATAGAACTAAATTTTAATAAGATTAGGGTTAACTTAATGAGATAGCTTGAAAGCAGGTATGTTCTGGTAAATTTAAAGCGATTACCGTTTTTAGCGCTATTTGAATATGTCTATTATGAAACAAATCCCTTCACGTATAACCTCTATATGTGCACTTTGAACTTCCATAATTCTGCCAAGCAATGTCGAAGGAATATTGCTCTTTACAATTTTGAGAATAACATATGGATATGTGAATGGAAAGAACAAAAGAAAAAAAGGACATAAGGACAAGATGATTCCTACATTTCCGCTATATCATATAAAGATAGATAGAGATGGAGAGAGAACTACGAGGTCTATCACAACTGTTTTCCAATCGTTTGATGTGTTTCAGCTTTTGGTTTTGATATGTGATAAGAGACTTTCTGTTTTGAAATTTCACTTGGAGCTCGGTAATTCATGTTGTTTTACTAACTTATTTTTTGCATCAATATCTGAGTTTTAAGTTCTGTTGTCTTTTTTCGCTCAGCTTTGATTTATGGTTTTCTTTTCTTTGATTGAAAGAAGGGATAAAATAATATGAAGGCAGTCTCAAACCATGGTCGAAGAAAAACAGACGACAACATGACCATGGCGAAAAAGTAAGACAGACAAGCAAATCTTCTCAAAACACTATACCGAATTGTATGAACAATACGTAAACCAGTACGGTGATTACAGTTGTTCATGAAGGTTATTTAATCTTAATCAATCTGAATTATTAATTTTCAGTCATATTTAATAAAACAACTAACAAAGTATATCATAATGGGTTAACATAAAAAAGAATTCGCCGAATTTGACATTGAAAATCGCATGGTACAGACATTTTTCTTTCGAACATTGAACGAGCATAATCTTCGTAACATGTCTTTTCACATCGGGAAACTAATTTTTACCAAATATACTTCTTTTATTCTTTAAAGTTCTTCCATAACCTTTTTTTAAATATGGTTGATCATCACCTGCCGATATTAGCAATATTATCTAGCAAAAAAAAAGCTAGATGATCCCCATTTGCAGATGGTGTTTTTTGGGGCAACTACCAAAGCTTCATTAGAAGGCTGCATCTGGACCTACATCATATTAATTGCAGTTTAAAATGACGAAAAATTCCCTCGGTCCATAAACAATAAATCTATTCTATTTTTGACATACAAATATTCAAATGTCAGAAAACATTTAGATTTTATTGCAATTTTATCATTTTTTGGAAGTTTTTTCAAGAAATGCCATTTTTTGTTAATATAGCGCAATCAACATTTAAGTTTGCACTTGATTTGAAATCATGGTAATTTGTTTTATAAGGTTTAGATCAATTTTAGGGAATAAAATGCCATACAAGTACCTGAAAATGGCATTTTGTGTAATTATAGCAAACATTTGGAATGCTCGGTTTAGACCTTTGACCTTGGTTTAACGAAAATTGCACCGTACGAATTATTGACGACTGGGCAAAAATGAAAGTACAGATAATAAGCTTTCGAATGATGTGTAATATAGCCGTATGTTAGGTGGGTGCATTAAAGTCGTTAATTAAGCGTCTTTTTGAAAATTGTCACTCGCCTATACATAGTGTCAAAGTTAAAAACAGATCACGTGATTGTAGTTTTTTTTTCTTTATCGGTTGCGAATTTTATTAAGCAAGCTCTGTCAATATCAACGTTTAATTTCAGAAATATACGGTTTTTAGATTTGGGAATATATTCTATTACACTGAATTAGCATGAAATATAGATCTTATATTGTTTAAAAGCAATTCCAAGGACAGCATTGTCAATACGAATATGAGATTGCCTCAAGTTCTTGAATTTAAAACGTAATGGTACCAAAGTAGTCCAATTTTAGATGTTGAATATGAGATGAACAGGGAAAATATTATCTTACGAAATTCAGAGACAAAGATATGCATTCAGTGGTCAGTTGATCAAATACATCCACGCCATTTTGACTCTGGTTGATAGCTGCCCTGATGGAAAGCATACCACACCTTCTCATTTCTATAGTGTGGGGGTTTTCGGACAAGAAAACATTAGGCAGTTCTGACAGTTTCCTTAGGAAAAAAATGTCAGAGTGGTACAAGGAATTTAATACAAATTTAATGTTGGAGTATTTAAACGAAAAAAAAAAAAAAAAAAATAGTAAACATCTTCATTAAAGGGCATTAACTCTAATAAGGGGCCATCAGACGATCTTAACCATGCTGATTCATTTGTAGAACTAATCTTGCTGATCAGTTTTGCTATATAAAGTTTCTCTCTATCTATTATAATTTTAAGATAATGGGCAAAAATTTAAAAAGTTATTGACATTTTGGAAGTAAATGTACAATAAGTAAATTTCACAATTCCAAATGTTTCTGCCCTTGTCAAATTTTCTCTTTTTATAGTGGTTTTCAAGATAATAAACAAGACTTGCATTTTACACCTATGTTTTTTTTAGACATGTCGGCCATCTTGGTTGACAGGCAGCGTCATTGGCAACATTTTCTAAACTAGATACCCTTTAAAATGAATTTGGCCAATTGTGGTTAAGTTTGGATCAGTAGTTTCAGAGAAGAAGTATTTTGTAAAAGCTAACGACGACGGAGGACGGACGAAAATGTTGAGAATAATAGGCAAAAATAGAAAAAAAAATAAGTCAATTTTTCAGATTAATACGGAAAAGAAGAAATAAATATTTTCAACATTTTGCTCTGAATACTGTATTTTGGTCATAACAAAGCTTCTGTCCAAATTTCCCACAAATCTATGAAGCTTTCACGAAGTCATTGATGACTGACGGTAATTACTTGTTAACTGTAAAACTAGAGGCTCGTCTGCATCTTCAGCAATAGCCACTTTTAAGTAATAAACATCATTAAAAGGGAATAACTCTATTCAGAGATAACTAAAAATTTTCAGTCATGTTGACGTATTTGTAGATCTTATCCTACTGGTAATTTTGCTTTATAAAGTTTCTATTTATCTATTATAGTTTTCAAGATAATAGGCAAAAAATACTAAAACATGTTAAACATTATCATCAAAGGGCAATAAGTCCAATAACGAGTCGACTGCAGATTTCTGCCATGTTTTGGCTTATTTGTGGATCTTGTCTATCTGATCGTTTTGTGTTATTTGAAGTTTCTGTCTATATAACTATTATAAATCGAGATAATAGGTAAAACAATTCTAAAATGGTAAATTCATCCTTTAAGGGCAATAACTCCTATAAGAAATCGTTTGACAGTTTTGACGTGAATGACCAATAGTTAGAGCTCAACATTCTGAACATTTTTGCTCATGTCAGATTTTCTCTATTTATAGCGGTTTTCCTTATAATAGGCAAAACTTGCATTTGACCCCTATGTTCTTTTTTTAGCCATGTCAGACATCTTGGTCGGCTGGTAGGGTCATCTGACGAAGTTTTAATATACATACTCTAATAATGATTGTGGCTAATTTTGGTTAAATTTGGCCAAGTAGTTTCAGAGGACAGGATTTTTGTAAAAGTTAACGAAGATGGACGACGACGATGACAGACGAAAAATGACGAGGACGGACATCAAACCCCAAGTGATGAGACAAGCTCACTTGGCCCTTCGACCAGGTGAGCTAAAAAATAAGTTGATTTTATCCGTAAAATACGGAAAAATGAAAATAAACGTATTCAAAATTTTGCCCTGGATACTGTCCTTTGGTCATAAACAAGCTTCTGTCCACATTTCTTAAAATTCAATAAGGTTTGAAAAACTTATTGATGACTGAAAAACTTTCACTTCAGACTAAATTTGAAAGTAAACTGTAAAAAATTAGTTCTATTTATCAGTAAAATACGAAAATATTTTAAAAATTTTGCTCTGGATACTTTATTTTGGTCATAAAGAAGCTTCTTTTCCATTCCTAACATTCCATTAAGGTTTGACAAAGTTAATCATGTTATTGATGTCTAAAAAACATTAACCACAGACTTAACCTAAATGCTGACGCCGACGCCAATGACGGAATCGAGGATCGCTATGTTTCAGTTTCGCACAAAATGTCGCAGGCTCGACAACAAGGGCAAGTTTATGCAACATGACATGTTCAAGCGATCTGACTACTATATCAACTAACGGAACGTCAGGAAAATAATCTCACCTGACATGAACAATGCAAGTAAAATCTCATCTCATTTCCGATTATTGGATTGTCCTAATATAGCAATATTCATTCAATAATTCATATGACATAATGATCCTTATTTATTGCAGTTTGAATATTGTTAAACAGAATAATAAGTAATTAATTGTTCATCTTGTCTCTACTAGAAATATTCCGACAAAAATAACAACAAAATTAAACAAGACGTAAATTGAAGATAAACAGAAAACACCATGGCAAAAAGAAAACACGAGGAAAACACAAATGATCACAGATATCTAAGAGTATAATAAAACAAATCCCAAAACAGGGGGGATGATTTTTGACGACCTGAAATGTAAAGTAAGTTTCCCATTTATAACACGGTAAATTTAAAAAGGGGAAAATTAATTAAACCTGACAAAAATCCAACGCTCAACACTATCAACCGACGAAATGAATTGAAAACAACTGTCTTTCCTCGATGAAAGAGAGTTCATAAGTCACGAACAACAAACTGGAGACAACGGACATTGTAAATATGATAACTACTTACATGAATGTGTAGTTATTTAAAATCTGTCTATTATCACTTTTTAAAGTAATTTCTTACTGCATTATCATTACGGTAAAAACCTACTTCATTGCCCGTGTATCAATACTTACAAGATTATAAGGGATGTTAAACCAGAAAGCGCATTTGTTCTTACTGTTGTTAAGTTATTTCTACGAAGACTTCTGAAAGAATGAAAAATAAATGATCATAGGACTTCGTTCAATATACATGATATAAGAACGATATTCCATATTCTGATATATAAAACCTACATCTCTTTAACATTCCGCAGGTCAAAACATTCTAAAGCATTTGCACAAAAAATTTGGTAAATCTTAAAAAAAAAGTTGTTAATAAGGAATGAAGCTTTAGTGAAAATTAATCATAATTTAATGAATCATTTGGTGTGGACCAGTAAAAGGATAGACCAACGATTGCATGAACTACATTTGAATGTATGAAATGAAAATACGAAGTCTATAGAGTAGACAATATTATGATAGACTATCATTTAATTGTTAAGTCAAGACAGTTTGCTGATATTTTACACAATTAGAACCATTTTGAAAAAGTGAAAGAAAACGCCTGACAGTTAACAACAATTAGTATTTAGATGCAAAGTATTGGTAGTTCGTTAAATTTTGGGATATATTTTTAGTCGTGAATGAGGTACATAAAAAGCTTATAGGTATAGATAGAAATCATCATCATTGATGAAGATCATGTATACAATAGTGGCATGATAATAGTAATAAGTGCCCGTGGAATATTGGCAGGTCGATAACTTAACGCGTTTGATATATCATAGATAATATCCTTTACCACGTCCATTTCTTAAAATTTTCCTGCGCTATACACAAAACTGTTCCCAAACGAAAACCTGATTGTCTAATTAAAGCAGGAAAATTAAATCGAGAATTTCCGAAAACCAGCAAGTTCATTTAAAATCCAAACCTGGTCGGACAACTATATTTTCCATGCAAAGTCACGATTTGATTAAAACATATGTAATGAATAGTACTTACAAAATTGTTGTAGTTGAAGAAATATCTGTATGCGGTATTTCATCAAAACTCCTTCCGGAACAATCAATTAGTGTACCAGTACATGAACAAGATGAAGGACATCCATTAACTAAATCCCCTTTCAACAGGCTTATAAACAACATAACTGCAACTGACATCAACATTTTATTAGATGTGTTCGTTTTGCTCGTTTACCTTGATATATCTGTAATATACAAAAAAAAAATAATGTCAAATAATATAGCCTATTGCCAGAGAGTCATTTATTTTTTTAATAAACAATCATGAATTTTCAAGATAAGACAAAATGTAAGAAATAGAGAGAAATTACCATTTCAAAAATTTTCCTTTCCTTAATTACACTCTATCAGATATGTGTCTCTTTCTTTTATGATATCAAAAGCGATGAGAAGGATACCAAAGGAACATTCAAACTCATAAGTAAAAAATTAACTGGCAACGCCATGCTTAAAAAAAAAAAGATAAACAGACAAACAACAGTACACAAAAATAAAAAAACCAAAGAATGAGCAACACAAACCCCACCAAAAACTGTGGGTGATCTCAGATACTCTACAAGGATAAGCAGATCCTGCTCCACATATGGCACCCGTCGTGTTGCTTATGTTAATACAAACCTGGTGATAAGTTTAGTTCGGTGTGTCATATCTGGAGAAAAGGTGACAGGATTGTAGTTACAACAATAGGAACATATCCGTTGTCATTTGTGAAATGGATATTCCATATAACGGTCAAACAACTCGTGATACCGTCTGTAAAGTTTAGGTAGGGACTATATCAACTAATAGGTTTCTTGTGAGCAGCAATCATTGATCAAGGAAAGTATGATAGGAAATACAAGCCATGGAAATTGTATCAACTTGGAGATATATACATGTACTCCTACAAGACATGATTGTAAGAGGATGCTGTTAAGAAGTCTCTCGAACAAATCATAATAAGAATAATCCCTTAAGGACTCTCCCTATTAAAAAAATTATGAAAACAAGTTCAAGGTCAAATTATGACCTTGCCCATTTAACCTTTCAAGAGCCATATGTTCCCATGGTCATTACTGAAGACCCTATGTGTCTATCACTAACTGTTCTCAAGATATAATCATTTGAAAATAACAAAAATTAAAATATTATAGGATTCTATAGTAAACCCCTCCTTTCTTTTGGCCCCTCAAAGTACCCCTTTATAAACGCTATTGCACAAATAAAACCCTGATTGTTCCACTAGACATGTTAGTCTTGCATATTGTGGAACCCTAAATTAATCTGACAAGCGGTTTTGGGGAACGGGTGCAGACAAGTTCAAATTCAAAAGTAGTGGAAGAAGAAGGAGAAGTTCTAAGATGAAGAGGAAGAAGAAGGAGAAGAAGATTTGCAATTTTGAGAAATAGCAGATGACACCCTCGTCTCCCCATTATCAGAGTAACGCTAGCCATAGTTGCTGTAGTTTCAATGGTAACATAGTGGTTCAAAATTATTGTCAAAATCATCCAAAACCTGTATATAGGCGACTTTTTTTTTGTATAAAATCAGTTGTATTGGGTTTGATGTAATATTCGTTAAGACAATGTTGCTTTAAAGTATTTTTTGCCAATTGGTCAAGGTATAATTTTCTATCTGTTTCCATGACAATGGGGGCTTTTTGGAATATCTGAATATTGTCGGTACCTCAACATACCACAGGCAACATTTGCTACACCTCTTTCTGCAAATTTTCAAAACAGTTGGAGCATTTTAATATTTAACACATTTTTGCTGTTTCCATGGTCGATCGGGTGACATAATAATGATAAAAAAAACCGAAAAACAAACGGAGGAACAGCAATATGTCACCCGACATTGTTGATCGGATGATATAATAAGAAAATAGAAACGTAAAATAACAATATGTCACTCCGTTGAGGGTGCCATTAAAAAGAAACGTAGAATAACAATATGACACCCCAACTCTGTTGAGGGTGCAATAACTATAATTTCTATTGTAAGCAATAGCAGACTCACCCCTGCCAGATGAAATTCATGAATATATGAACCATCATGAATGTTCATAAAAGTGCATTAAGTTATTTCATGAATTAAGCTCATGAGCAGTTCATAAAATGCAGTTCATGAATATTTTCAGAACCTTCATGAACTGTTAGTCAGTTCATAACGTTCATAAATTGTTCATAACACATGTTCATGAATATCTTATCAACTTTAATTAATCAAGCAATACAGAAAGTTCATAAAATAATTAATAACAGATGTTCATGAACATTTTTCAAACTTTTATGAAACACTAATTTCATAAAGTTAAAAAAAACTTTCAACTTCAACTTACACAATTTAATTCAGATGCTTTATTTGTTATAGGAGCATGTCTTATTCTTCTCCCAACGATGAGTCCATGAGTCCTAGACTCATGAAAATTTGTCTGGACTCATCATAACAGGCAAGTCCAAAGATGTATCGAGAATGTAAAACTTTTTTTCATTTTATTTCTAAAATTTTAGAAATAATTAAATTTGATGTCAATTACTTGCTCTTTTTTGTCAGTGAGACTGGAATAAAAAATATATAGCAAAACAATTTCATATTCTAGCTGTTTAACTTGCCTTGACCAAAAATGATGAATTCCTCACAGGACTCACATTCCAAAATCTATAGTGAGAACCATGATGTCTCTTTAGCATGTACAGTGTCTTAATGTAGTTTTATAAGTATATATATATATATATTTTAGAATTTATTTTTTAGTTTATTTGATTTGGTGTGGAGATTTATAAAACAAATAGCGGCAATAACTATTATTCAAACGTTTATACCTGTCATTTATCTTTTATCTTTCCCTTTCATCACAATCATGCAACTGATTTCCTAGGGATTCAGAACTAATTTGGCTGATTCATTACATTTCTAAATGTTTCGTTTAAAAGGCATTACCGGTACAGAAATAAGGCATCAAATATATATTTACAATCATCCTGGACTTTATGGCCCAGGACTGACACGTTATGGATCCGGGTTTTAATTGATTAATTTTTTAGTCAATCTTCTTATTATTATCCAGGTCTTCAGAAGGACAAAACAGCCACATATTTACAGTTTTATTCATGAAGAAAGAAAAATAAAACACGAAAAACAGAACTTAAGAAGAATTTCAAGGTATAAACTTATTTTCAACTTTTCAAGAAATCATAATGTTTCCTGTGGGGCTTAACGCTACATCAACCCCACCCCCTCCTTCCTCTCGAAAACAAAAACAACAAACCCAAAACAAACAAAACAAAGACAAATACAAAATCAAGACAATTTTTACATATAGCAAACAAAACAAGGCAAAAAGAAAAGATTGTGAAATTCTCGTACTGCAATAGCTTCTGTTGAATGTGAATGCATGTATGTAGGCTTAAAGAATGTAAAATACTCCTACTCCTATAGTTAATGTTAAATGTTTATATGTTACTGCACGTATGTGGGCTCATTTTGTCACACTGGAATGTACAGACTACAAAAAAGCAGGAACTTAAACATAATATTTATGTTCTTGTCGTGCTCATCAAGTCCATATCTATTTTTATACTGCTTATATAATTATCGTGTATACATCTTGTCTATTTCTTTTATTTAACTGTACACCATTCGATCTTTTAATTGACTGAATGATTGTTAACTTTAATGCCACTTTCAGTACACTTGGCTATATCATGCCCGCCAGTTTTTGTTGGTGGAGGGAACCGGATTGCCCGGAGAGAACCACAGGCCTTTTGCCAGTAAACTGACAATCTTTGCCAAACTTAAGACTGAAGACGAATCCAGATGCTTCGTGGCAGGTTCGCAACCTCACAACCTCAGTGATACAGTATAGGAACTACTTAGACTAATTGGCCATCAATTAGATGTGTGAGAACTTCGGAATTTATAGCACGGACAATATCAACAACAGATTGAAATTTTGACCAATTAAATTTTCAGATCTTTTTTAGAAGAAAAAAAAAAATAATAACGGTACAATCTTACATTCATTTTATTATCAGTATAAATGCAATATGGTTGAAGTTATATGAAATGAAAATAATTGAACAATAGAAACATTATGAAAATTTTATACAATTGTTTATACTAATAATTTTTCATCACAAATTAAAAAGAATAAAGAAGTTATAGATAAATTCACGTAATATAAAAAACAGTCTCATCTTATTAGTAGATAACACAATAGGAAGAAATGAAGGCCTTAAATGTAGACCTAAGTGAAATATACACTGCTAAAAACTCAGACAAACTTGCTATTTGCTGATAGGATACTAGTTGTTATATAGTGAACATAAGGTAATATATAGAAGTAATATGCAAACTAAATCGAATTGATTAATAATCAAAAATGTAAAGTAAAGGAATGCTGAAGCTGTATTAAAGATATACAGAAAAGAAAATACGGTGAGAAAAGAAGTCTACACTATCAATAATAAAAATGATAGTATTGAAACGGTTATTATCTTTTATTAATTTTCTTATAGGGAGAATACTAAAGTAATCATTGAAATATCATGCCAAAAAAGACTATAAAAGTGATGAAAACAGACATAAGTGGGGAATGGCACTTGATTCATTCTTGGACAAATAAAAGATATGATGTTTTCAAACCAACAACATTTTAGGAAAAGTCAAAATTAAAAGTACAATCTATAAACAAAGACTTAGATGACAAATGGCTAGTACGATGCAAGTAGCACTACGTAGATCTTATGTTATGTTTAATTATTCAATATGCAAATATGATTTGAGGACGGGAAAAAAGGCCAGAATGCCTAAAGATAGCACAACAGTTCAAACGCATCGTCGTCTGTACATGTTAGAAGGGAATGATGATAGATTTTATAAAAGTTAGTTACTATAATAACAATATAACATGTAAATGTATAACTGTACTTACATTATAATAACGACCACAACTGGAGAAACCTGATCACACAACCGTACACTTGGAGGAAGATTTCGTAAATAACACGTAGGTAAAGATGGAATGTTCAATATAAACGCATGAATGGTGCAAGTATGTAACACATGTTAACTGATGATTCAGTGGTTTAACATGAAAAATATTTTTATCATCTTTTTTTAGTTTAGAAAGAGCGTTTAGTACAAATATAAAATAACGATATGAAAATAAAATATTTCTATGTAAAATCTTGCAAATATTTGTCTATTAAAGCACGTATTGACTTGAACGTTCATAATAAAGAATTTATATTTCAATTTAATAAATCGTTAATTCATCAAATAAGACAAATTGTTTCAATCTATTTTGTCACGGCTTCTCAAGTGAATTAATATCAATGTTGAAAATGTTTATACTATCTAGAATTAAAACAAAAAAATCAAACCCAACCATACACATACGGAAAAAGGGAATGATGAGTTGGTCATCTATCCCGAAATCTATACAATATTTTATTTTAAAGAATATGTGTACCAGCTTTTATAGGCTATCAAATATATTTTGCATAGAGTTAGTACCAAATCATTTTAGATTCTATGCATATGACAACTTTGTCAAATCAGCAAGTTTTATCAAAGTTCACATCTACAATTTTCCTATATTGATTGAGATTCACATGGTGGGTGATGCATACATAACAGAAGACGCTTATCCTTTCGATGCACCCGGTTTTGCTCCTTTTAGACCTATATACAAAGAGATGAACAAAAGAAATTGCTTTCGCAGTTGACTCCTTGGCATAACGGTTTCAGATTCAATTTGATAAGTTTCAAAAAAATCGCATGGGTTTCCTCGGAATCCTGGCTTCGCCTGTGATTGCTGCTGTCAGTATAAAAGTGTTATGTTGACTTTAAAAGTAAGTCCATTTATCAGTAAAATACAGAATTTAAAAAAAAAATCAAACTTATCTTTTAGGTGCTATTATATTTCATTGTGTTCAAGATTAGCTTCTGTACAAGCTTCACTCATTTAAAGAGTGAGTCTCCTAATTATATCGGGAACATTTGGCTTGTTAGTAGATTTTGTCTTGCTGCTCAATTTTGCTAATTTAAGTCTCTTTCTATCTATTTTGACTTTTATCATACAAGGCAAAAACGCAAAAAAAAGTGAAAATCATCAACAAAGGACGATAACTCTAATAAGGAGTCGACTGACGATTTCAACCATGCAGACTTACTTGCAGAACTTCTCTTTCTGATCGTTTTTGTAATTAAAAGTGTGTCTCTATCTATTATAGTTTTCAAGATAATATGCAAAAATGAACAAAAAAATGGTAAAATGTTTCATTTAAGAGCAACAACTTTGATAAGAAGTCGTCTGGCAGTTTTGGAATATATGGACAATTGGTAGAACTCAACATTCTGAACATTTCTGCCTTTGTTAGATTTTCTCTATTTATAATGGTTTTCAAAATAATAGCCATGTCGGTTATCCTGGTTGGCAAGTTGGCTCATCAGTTACATTTTTTAAAACTAGATACCCAATGATGATTCTGGCTAAGTTTGGTTAAATTTAGCCTAGTTGTTTCAGAGAGGAGAAGCTTTTTGTAAAAGTTAACAGACGACGACGGACGCCAAGTGATGAGAAAAGCTTACTTGGCCCTTTGGTCAAGGTGAGATAAAAAGGTATATCTATAATTTCCACAAATTGTTAACGAGAAGAGTAAACGCGTGATTTCTAAGTGCACGTGCAGGTAAAGATGTAAAATCTAGTAAACGCGCGTTTATATGTAGTTAACTACTGACTAAACTGACACAAAGTAAACGCGCGTTTACCCGAGTAGACATTAGAAATTTCCATTTTGACTGCGTTAACGTAATTGTAGTAAACGGGCGTGTACTAGTAAACGCAAAAACAGTAAAATAACAAAAATACCGAACTCCAAGGGAATTTCAAAACGGAAAGTCCTTTATAAAATGACAAAATCCAAATGTAGTGCATTTGTGTAACGTGTAACAGTTTTAGGACTGTGAAGAATGGACAATTTTCATTGTCTCTTCCTTTTTCGTGCATGTATGTAGGGATCTGTTCACCTGACCTTTGATTATCTTCGTTGTTTTTAAAATTCCTGGACTGTTGTTGACATTAATTATTTAATTAATGCCTAATACTTGTTGTTATATGTTAAGTTTCAATTGTTTTTCACAATTTAAAAACAATGTGTATAGTGTGTTCCTTATTACAAGTGTGTTCTTTAATTTCTAATTAAAATGTCATGTATAATGCAAACAGACTTCATATTTGTATTTTGATAGATACAGATCAAAGGGTGTATTTATTATCTCACTTCAAAATGGTGATTAGTAAAACACAAACTATTTTGCTTTTTACTTTAAAAAGTCTCAACAGACAGTGCATGCTTGCATGTTTATGTAAGGCTCCCCTTAATTCGAAAATCTCAATTTTCAGGCACAGGCTCATATAAATATGACTTTTGAATAATTGTGATAAATTTGATAAATCAAATGAGTGTTCAGTTGCTTTTAATATCTAATATATTATATCTAAGAGCATTTAAAAAGCAAATATTTGCAATATTTAAATTTTTAAAGCCCAAATCTTGATAGTTGAAATTATTGGATTTAAACGTCAAAATTAAACATCCAAATTTCAACATGAAAATAGCCATAGTTTCTATGATATATATTCTATAGCCATGAAACTTCGCTAACTATCTGATCAAATATAGTCCCTAGTGTGGACAGTGTATAACTTGCAAATTTTGTTCATACACTTTCCAAATTTATTTCTTTATATTTTATGCATGAAATATAACGTAAAGGGATGAAATTACATATTAAAAAAATTGGGTGCTGAATCTTTATGTTAAGTAGTGATTTGGTCCAGTTCAAAAAGGTCAAAAACTATTATGTCTGAAGCTGCCTAACTGAAATTTAGACTCCCTTAACATAGAATTGTCAATATTTTGAGTTAGAGCTGGTAGACTTTTCTATAATTTTATATAAGATGGCTAATGCTTATACAACTGCAAACCAATTTGCATTGGTCAACCACTAAGGCCAGGCTAAAAAATATAAGTTTGCCCTTACCCAACTCGTCAATAAGACACATCTGTAGGTAAGTAGGTTTCATTTGTTTTTGTAAAGACAAAAAAAACCTCCATTAAATCTTTCTACTCTTCCTGTCATATAAGCGAACTTCAGACACATAGTGTGTCCTTTTGATATGAAATTACTGGTATATTATTTAGAGCTTTTTCATTTCTCATCATCAAAATAGCTTAGGCAGGTAGTCCAAAATTATGTACTGAAATAGGGTTTGAAACGAGACAAAATATCTTTTATTGTTATTACAAAACACTATTGCTAGAGTAGGGATTTTGCAGTTAAAGCTTGGTAATAATAATTTTCAAGATGCATTACTTTAATATGATCAAATATAAAACGTTACTTGTTAATAAATATATGAATATATTTATATTCAAATTCTTTGGCAATAGTTATTATGACCAATCTGCTATTATCAGGGTCCAACTGTCCATTTTATGTTATAGTCTTTAACCTTTATCTATTAAGCATGTCTCCTTGACTTATATGTTTGCTATAAGCAAATAGTAGTGCAACATTGAAACCTTATACATATTTCATGTCAAACTGTAATAAATTCCAGTGTTATATGGTATAGTTTTGTTTGTATGCCCCTGTTGTAGCGGAGGGGGCATTAAGTGTTACCCTTGTCCGTCCCGAAAATTTGTTTCCATTCTCTAACTTTAGTTTGCCTTAACCAAATGTTATAAAACTTATAAACAACGCTTAAATTATTAACACAAAACACAGATTTTCGAAAGTTCGAAATTGGGTGGCGTCACTTTTGCCGTTCTTGAGTTATGCCCCTTCATAAGTGGAACAATTGCTAAATCTGTCGTTTTCGTTCTCTAACTTTAGTTTGCCTCAACTAAATGTTATGAAACGTATACTTTTAATTACAAAACGGTCTTAGTTACTTGAATGCTGCATCTGTATGTGGAAGTTGATATATACATATTTTCAAGCCTGGGGCATCTGTGGCCCATAGACACATTTAGTCAGGGGTACTGCTTGTACAAGAATTTTTTATTTAGTTGAAGAAGTAAATAATAATATGCTTGTATAAGTAAATTTGTTATATTCATATTTTTCTTATAAAGTCTGAATAATCTCCCCTTGCTTTTCTCAAAAACAAAAAATACTTGTATTGTAATTTTGTTTTATAATCCCGAAAATTCTCAAGTTTAAAAATAACCTGTACAAGTAGTACCCCTGACAGAAATTCCCCATTTATTTGTATTTTATATATATGGGTTATATTCTAAGTTATTAAAGCTAAAGGAATATTTTCTTTTTCCTTTTTATTTTCTATGCTGCAATAATTATGTATTGCAGGTCAATTGATAAAGAATCACTAATATTATCATTTATTTCAACATTATCATAACTTGTATCTAATAATTTCCATTTGAACATTATTTAGATTATGTATTAATGTTTTGGTTACTTGTTTCTTATCTACTGTATTGCGTCCCATTTCATGAATCCAATGTTCTCACCCTAAGGGATTTTGTAGGCCAGTCCAGGGACATTTTTAGTCACGATGAGTCCAGGGACTCTCCATTTTTGGTCACGATGAGTCCAGGGACTAACAATGTTTGCCATGAAGCATCCAACAGTGGAAAGACAATAAATATCAATGCCTTAATTTATGATCTAATTCTTTATTACAAAATAAAGTAAGAAAATCAAATCAAAATAGCATTATTTTTCATACTTTCATTTGACTTTTGCTTTGAAATAATGATAAATAGATTCAGCTGGTACAATCTTGATGCATCTTTGGACTCTTATTTAGTTTAGAAAGTTGTGAGTCCTATCAGATTTTCATGATTCTAGGACTCATGGACTCGTCTTAATAAGAACCCTGAAATCCTCGAAATGCATACTGTGACAGCTGTTATGATGCAGACATAGAAAAGAATTTGTCTTG